CTCCCGCGGAACACGATCAAAAAAGAGAAGAACACACCATAAGGAACAGATTATTGAAGTCCAGCTCCATTTCAAAGGTAAAACAGCAACGACAGATAAGGCGCACCAAAAAGCCTGGAAACAAGAAAACGGAATAAGAGAAACAGAAAACGCCGACAACAAACGAGGCGCAAAAGACACGTACGATCAAAACAGCAGACGCGACATACCCGAACTAAAACGGAGATAACCACCGCAAGCTCGACCCTTTACCGCACACACACCGGCCCGCACGCCAATCCGAACACACCCACACAAACACAAACTGACCGACCGCCGGACTCGCGAAACGAAGGACAGAAAAAACGAAACCGACCAACCAGGAACGGGCACAGCCACGGCAAAGGAAGGCAAACAGACCACCGGACAAACGCGAGAAAACGACCCGAAAACCGGGAGAACACCCAAAACTAGAACGCCCGACAAAGGTGAACGCCCGACAAAACAGACCAAAAGCCCACGGGGAAGGAAGAGAAAGCAAGGCCACCACCCCCCGAAAAGAGGAACCGAGAAACAACGTCAAACACCCGAAACACGACAACAACGCGACACACAACGAAAACAGACACACAGGCACCAAGCACAAGGAGACGCCTGAACTACGGAAACCTAGACGACAGAAACCAACGGCCGTAGAACGAACAGAACAACAATCAGAGAAAAGAACAAGACTAGAAGCCATAATGGCGCGATACAAAAACGGACGCGACTCGCATAGGGAGAGAAGCGCACAAAAACGAGAACGAACCAGGAAACGACCCAAGAACAAGCAAGACGGAACAACCACGCCCCGGAACACAGCACGAGCAATGAAGAAAGAGACAGGGGGGGACCGGGCCCCGAGAACGGCTATAAATACGGGAAACGAGCTGCAGGAAGGAAACAGTAGACCCCCCGAGACAAGCGTGAAGACCGGCAACCATGAGCTAACAACACCAGAGAACAAGAAGAGTCCCGAACTATCGAAGAACAATCGTACCAGAGGACTACCCGGAGACCAGGCTGACGCCCGCAGAATGCGAGGACTTCAGGGACGCACTGGCAACATGAGCAGGACGATACATGGAAGCAAGGACAGCGAAAGGGGCTCAGATCCCACACCTAAGATTCGAGGAATTCCACAAAGGAAACGGGGGCATAACAGTGACATGCAAGACAACATTCACGGCAGACTGGTTGGTGAAAGCAGCAAAGCATATAAAAATGCCAAGCGGCGTCAAACTGAGGGTCGACGAAGGGACAACGCCCGGGGCCGAAACGTTAAGTTGAGAAGGTATAGGAAAAAGCGTGTAAAAGTCGGGTGTTTTAAAGGGGCCCAGTGGCCCGCAGAGCGAATAGGTCATCTGCGCAGGCTCGAAACGCCGGACGGAATGAGGGAGAGATCCGTCCGGCACGGCCGAGCGAGACGCAGACAGAGATATACGGTATGAAAGAGAGGATACGTTTCTCTCACTCCCACCAGAGATTTTTCGCAGCATCGCTGGAGCGAACGATAGAAACATTTAAAAAAATGAAGAATGACGATTGGCGAAGGAAGTAGGCTGATGTATACTTGAAAGCCCACCTTCGCAACGTCATTCGTTATCTCAAGCACTTTATCGCCCTGTTTTCTTTACGTTCATTGACCACTTGTAGAGGAGCTAGGCATGACTTTCGGCGAATCTCCTGCTGGACCGAAAAATAGGGAACGGCAATAGCTCCCATTTTCCATCCTCGCCACAAGAGGTCATGGTAAATGTGTCAATTCCCAATCTTGTCAATGGAAATTATCATTTAGAAGCACCTCAAAAATCACATCTTTTAGCTGTAACACTATTTTTGAGACACCCTGTACAATCATACGAATGAGACGTTAAATGTCAAGTTGAATATATTTTTCAACTTCCACGCATCGATAATTATACGACACATGATTCGACACAATTATGTCGACAGAGACTCATAAACGATATGCACATACATTGTTATAATAAAAAAAGAGGGAAGAAAGGATAGTTGCATGGACGATTTAAAGTGGAACGAATTCGATGAATATGCGAAAGTTCGCCTTTTCGACCCGTATGAATTAGAATCGCATTATCGTAAGGTCAATCCCAGCGTCACTTCCTGCCTCTTTTTTCAGTCAATAGTCTATCACTGAACTGTGACATTGTTCATTCGTGTTTCAGTCCTTTCAAGTTTAAAAGATATAGAGATCTTCCACTTTTAAGGTAGAACGAGTAATAAGTGAAAGCGAACGAATCAATTGGAGTAATTAGTGATTTGCTGTTCTACGTCCCAACATGTCTGTGAGTCACTTAAATCGACTTTTTTTGTATGTAATAATTGAGAATGAGAACCAAAATGACGACCCGATTAATGGAATGACAGTGAAATGTAAAAGTGAAATTAATGCGCCATTCCGTTGCATGGAAGTTTCAAGTGACCTGTAATCTGCGTATATCAGACTTAAAGATTTATAGGCTGTATACTTAAATAATGTCAGCAGGTTGAATTTGTTATTATAGATTCCTACTACTATAAAAAGCTACCTGTAAAATTTTAAATCAATTCATGGATCTTTTGAAAAATTATAGTGATTCAAAATTTGCATGTATTCTTATGGTAATCACTTTTCCCGTAGGTAATTGGAGTGCCTACAACTTCTATTTAAAGCATTCTTCGANAACAATAATTATATCAATAAGTTAATCAATTATAGAATCGTTTTATGATCGCAGTTCATTTTTTCCGCCAATTCACGACTGGTTTGGCGACCGTTCTCCTTCAAAAGTGATTTGAGACGTTCTTCATCGAATTCAGAAGGCCTTCCGCTGCGGGACGTGTCATCGACGTTAAAGTCGCCATTTTTTAACTTTGCAAACCATTTCCGTGCTGTAGACTCGCCTATGACACCTTCTCCATACACGTCGCAAATGTCCCGGGCTGCTTCGGCAGCTTTTTGACCTCGATGAAAAGCAAAGAAGAGCAGGTGTCGAAAATGTTGATTTTTGCCTCCTGGGTATTCCATTTCTAAGCCTCAAAACTAATAAAAAATTAAATAACTCAAAAATACAATTAACATAGTTTTGTAGAGCAGAAAGAGTTCTATCGAATGAATACTTACCCGTTGCCAAACAGCAAACAAATCGTTGTAAAATAAAAGAAATTATAAAAACGCTATGAACTTATTCCCCAACCTAATACATAAACTTTTCGGATCGACTGTATAGCCAATACATCTTTAAATGAAAAATGAATTGAAAGTGACATTCGATGAAAATTTCTTTGATCTTAGGTACACGGTAGTCGACAGAGAACGCCGGAAGAAAGCACTTCCGTGGCCGCATTCTACGCTGGACGAAGTATATTCATAACCGGTGGGACCGGTTTCATGGGGAAGGTTTTGGTTGAAAAAATCCTTCGATCCTGTCCAGATGTCAGAGAGATATTCCTGTTACTGCGACCGAAACGCGGACTTTCAATCGATACCAGGCTGAAGAAGTTGATCGAATTACCGGTAAGAATGTTGCGAGCCTCGAATTCCATTGCAGGCAGATTAATTCCGATTGCGAAATGGAAAAATCGAAATATTAAATTATTAACTTATTGATTTATACAATTAATGATATTTTCTAAAACATGTAATTATTATAACGAAATATTGTTACGTATATCCGAGGTAAGGAGAAAAGACAATTATTATGAACTTTATTTCACTTCTCCGTTACTCCCAATAGGAACCACCCTATGTAGGGTGTCCCAAAACTAGTGAAAGATATTGAAATGGGAGATTGCTGACATAATTCTAAACAACATTTTCCTTAGCGGAAAACTTATCCGAGGCGTGGTTGAGAAGTTATTAACAAAAAAACCCCGACCAATCAGAGCGCTCGGTTGACGCGAGCTACGAATCGGGAGCGTTGGCTCGGCATTTGACGGGTCAACAACTGCTTCGCTCAATACGAAGC